TGGGCGGACTCTTCACGCCTGTGTAATTCTAATTTATGTCAACTAGAAATCAAAGAAATTCCAAGAGGCTTTGGTCATAGGACATTGGGGTGGACCTTTCAAAATCTATTTATGTCTATTCCTTAAGTAACGTGGCCCCCAACGGCCCTCCTGGCGCCTTCAAGGGCCAAGGAGAAGTAGCCTCCCCAAAGAAGGGCGGCTACCTGCTGCAGACAAAGGTAGAGGAGAGGCGTTAGGTAAAAGGAGGTGCACTTTCTCCGTCCTGTCTACAACTCTGCAGGGACATCAGAGCTAATCAGCATTTTAAGCAAAACGCTTTGCCAAGAGTGGCTCCCTCAATAACGCTCTTTAATGATACCCCAGACGCTGGCATTTTCAAATCAAATGAACAGTGTATAAAATTAGTTCTGCATGAAGTTAAAAAAAAAAAAAAAGTAAGTGAAAGGGAGCTTTTAAAAGCTCCAGCATTTCTCCATCCAACTGCTTTTCACAAGGGTTTGGCATATGAGAATTGCTACATTTATGATGTTATTCGCTGCTCATAATTCAGGCCCTCTGTCTCCAAACTTCTGTATTAACACGCGCTGCAGAGGTTTCCACCGCGACGTTTTATCACCGAGGTTTTCCAAGCCAGCCAGGCTGCCTCTGGCGAGGTCTGGTTTCCCAGCCAATGCCACGCCACCGGGCTCCCTCCCTTTTCATCAACCTTGTTACCCCAAACATTTTTCATTAACCTTGAACACTGTATTTCCATTTGCCCTCCAGCTTTTCCATGAATTTTTTTTTTGTCTTTTTCAGTTTTGTCTCCATCCAAACTGCCTTGTGAGAAATGAGAAAAATATATTATTAGAAGACAGAGATCTATATAGAATCTAGAATTCACTTAAGTCGTGAAAATGATTTCTATAACCAAAGCCACCATTTATAATCAAGGAAAGCAGAGCAAACATATTGCTCTTATTAGAGTCCCGTTGATTATACAAGTAGTTTTTACTAAATCACAGAGTAAATGCGTGTTAAGTTGATAGGTGATTTCGGGTCAACTCTAATTCCCAAGGTCAAGTAAGCCTTTGAACAGTCTTTAAGAATATAAGTTCACCCCAATTCATCAAAGCCGGCTCACACAGCGTTTTCTTCTCTTGGTTCTTACAATGCACTAAAGTTGAGGAGATTAAGTGGCGGCGGCTTCAAACCCAAAGCAATGCCTCTAACACGCTTATCCATCCGGCAATCAGAAAAGCTACTCAAACAGGGGCTTCCTTAATGCACTTCCTAATTTTACAAGTGCCTGGGTAATGCCGCGTTTGTCCAACGGCTGTGGGACTCCTCCCTAGGAGTCACCGATGTTGCAGCCAAACAAATGTTACTGCTGTTTTGCTAAGACATTGTCTGATCGTCTACATGCAGGCTGCTTTCATCTGCAAACAATACCTTTAACGTTTCTCATCTGTTCTTTGTTTGCCTGATGGGAGAAGCAGAGGAAAAACACTTTCCTACAATAAATACAATGCATTTTGTTATTCTTACAATTTCTCAAAGGCTCAAGTGAGGAAAGAAGCAGAGTTTTGGGTAAAGTATAGCTTTCAAATTAAGTATAAGTGGCCCCAAATGAAACTGGCAGCATATAAAATAAAATATAACCAGCGTTCGATATTTCCCAGAACCACAGGAGCACAGCACACGAGTCCTTGGGACACACAGATGTCACAAACTCCAGCTCAACCCATGCAGGGACCCCAGGGGCCACACTCCTGATGCGGGGTTAATTATGAAGACCACTGAGCTCTCTTGCCCACTCCTTTGGCTCCACAAAGGGGAAGGATAACTCACATTAACGAGTTATTAGTGGTCGGCAGGTTTGGTTAAGGTACAGGGAGAGGAGTGAGAGGCCCTAATCAATTTTGTTCTCTAATTGCACAGATGATCACATCAAGACAGTAGATCTTCCGCTCCATCTCCTGATCATGATCTCTCTGTTTCCTGTTTCTGGTCTTACTTTTCTCCATTATTGTTCTTATTACTTTCTTTTTGTTTCCCGACCTATTTGAATCGTCTTACCACCTCACCATTGTCTCCCATTGCAAATCTTTCTTCATCCCTATGCCTGGGTGGGTAAGTTGATCCCAAATACAGTGTGTCTCGTGGACACATTCATTTTCCTTCGTAAAGTGTGTAGAAATGTGATTATTGATATCTTTGTACCTAAAATAATCTTAATTTTAAATTTAAGTGAGGAAAAGTAAAAGGGTAAAATCTGAGTTTATTTTTTCCTCTTATTTTAACTTCCTTTCAAAATGATATAGCAGGCAATACTTTTTTTTTTCTTTCTTATTTGGAAATTCAAAATATCAAACCACAGGCTAATATAATGACATTGATGATAAGGATAATCAGTAACACTGAGCATTTACAGCACAGAATGTTCTAAGGGCTTGATATATGTTCACTCATTTAAATGCTCACAACAATTCTATAAATAGGTACTACTATCATCCTCATTTTACAGATGAGGAAACAGACACCGAAATGTTATAACTGCTCAACATGACACACCACATATGGAGCCCAGATCTGAGCCTGAACTCTGGCTCCAGAGTCCATACCCTCAACTACAAACAGTCTTTCTTTGCGACTCATATCTTTCTTTGAATCTTGATAAACATTTGCAATCAGGAAATGGATAGCATAATACAAACTTTGAAAGCTGAATAGCTCCTTACTCTAGATTTCCATCCAACTAAATAAAAAAGCAGGCTTTCATGTGCAAGGTTTAACTTGCACTCTGTGTGTGGTTTGGAAATTTCTTCTGTCCTCACAGAACCTCGCATGTTTGCGTCGGAGCTGCCTTCAGCCCGAGGGTGCCAGGCAGCGAGGCCGGCCCCGCGTCCCCTGGGCTGGCCGTGGGCTGTGGCCGGACACCGGGAGCTGGAGCCGAGCGCCCTCAGAGCAGCTCTCGCGTTGGAGAGGGTTCAGAGGCTGCCGTGGGTACTGCCAGACAGAACATCCTCCCCATCTCACTTTGAACTAATTTGGATTTGGGTAGAAAAGGATCCATTTTTAAACTTAAAATTAGCAAAATGCTGGTCAGCAAATATGTCCGAAATAGTCTTCTCCTATACTAATCAGAACATAAATTTCTTTAAAAAATTATTTATTTATTATTCATTTATTTTAAAATTTCCAATTACAGTTTCCATTCAACACTATTTCGTATTCATTTTAGGTATATAGCATAGTGGCCAGATGGTCACATATACCACAAACTATTCCCCTTGGTAGTTCCGGTACCCACCTGGCACCGCACAGTCATTACAGTAGTATTGACTGTATTTCCTCTGCCCTGCTTTAAACCCCTGTGCCTGTTTTGGAAACGCCCACCTGCAATCCCTTCACCTTTTTCACGCAGTCCCTCAACGCTCCTCCCCTCTGGCAGCCACCTGCATCTGCATCTACGTATGAGTTTGTTTCTGTTCTGTTTGGGACATAAATTTCTACAATTCATCTCCGAAGGTGGAGCTGACCTCCACAAATCCAAAGACCAGAAAGAAATCTGGTGGACTGGGGAAGGGCAGTGGGTGCAGCGGCCCATTTCGAACGCACACGTGGTTGGTGTCCTTTGTGCGCAACCACGGAGGAGTCCCTCCGGTGGAGGCCGAGGAACTCTGCTGTGATTGCTCCACGTCCCTAGAATACTCTGCTGCGGCCCCTTTCACTTACTTTAAAAGAACTGTGTGTTAAAGGGACACACTGAGTAGCAGTGTTAGATTAGTTAGTGGTGAAATGTGAGGAAGATCTGCAACCTTGGGTCTCAGTGCTGTTGCTTAGTAACAAAGCCAGCCAGCTTTCTGGGCTGGGCTGAGACTATATAATAAAATCTCTCTAAACACAAGCACGGGCAAAGGCCTAGTATAAGTCGGGATTTTAAAACATTTGGAGAAAAGAACTGGGTCAATTAACAAAAATGACGAAGCACACAAAGGATGCGGGCCATTATTCTGTTTGTCCTCAAATCTGCTACATTTAGAAAATGCACGTCCTTTGAGAGGTATATATTCAGCTTCACTCTCTTCCACTAGGTGTGTCCCTGATCACCACTTGCAAAGGCAGCACACACGTGTATATCACTATGAGCCAACCTTTTCTGAGCAAGCATCTGAGGCGGATCTTTTCCAGGGAACAGTCCCTGTGCCTGGAGAGGGCCGCGGCTGTGCCTCCAGCACTGAACACAGACCCCCAGGACCTGGGGTGACACCTGGGATGAGTGGCCCGTGCCAGTGTGTGGTCCTTCTGAACCTCCATATTCTCCCCTCCACAGTATGAATAACTATTTCTTAGATTTGTTATAGGGAAAACATCAAAGGGCCCCATATTAAATGTGACCCAGTTTCCCAAACGTATACTCACCTCTCTGGGCCAGCTCCACAGTCCTGCAGTCGGACCTCCTCATGTTCTAAAAGTGGCATCTTAAGTGTGGAAAGACACACATTTCCACCTAACGTCCTCACACTGACCCTTTCTTGCCCCCAGACAACCCAGATACATAGATGTTGAGCACTGAAATTGTATACTTCAAATTGGGAAGAAAATAATCTGGAATTTTCTTTCCACCTTACTGTTGCAGGAAACTTGGAGCCCAGAGCAGAATCTGACCGTTAGACCTTGTACACTGCTATGTGCTATGCAAACATTATAAACTTTGGTCCATGGACTTTATAGGTTGGAGGCCAAACTCAAAGTTGACTGTGAGTATGATGGCAGTTTCTTTCTGCATAAGCACAAAATTCATTTTTAAACAGAGAAATGCAAATATAATCTCAGGTTAGGTTAGAAAACCAGGCATCTTACAATGCATAGCTGTTAACAGCACATACATATCTACATACACACCTATATACATATATACCCATATACATATATACATACATATATGGAGAGAGAATATGGTGTCAAGCTATTAACTACACTGACAGTAGGAAACAAACTTGAAAGGTTACTCTTACTTTATCGCATCTCATCAGCCCCAGATATCGCAGAGACTTGCTGCTCTGTGCAATCAGGGTGGCTCCTTGGTCTGTGATTTCTTTGCACCATCCGACATCCACTGTCTCTATGGTCATGCTGTACCGCCCGATGGCTATCAGTGCTGCAAGAAGGGACAGGGAGAAAGAAGGTAAGAATAAACGTTAGCAGCGTAAGGGGTCTCTATCTCATTATGACGACTGCTCCCATTTCCTCACTAAACTTGTTCCTGAAATGTTGTGTGTAAATTCACGTTTTATAAACAAAATTGAATTCAAAATTCTTTAGGAAAGCTTGCCCTATGACAAACCCTTTCACACAGTGAAATCACTCCATTATTTCCCTTTCATTGGAACACAGCATTTGTCATTTTTACTCATTGCAAGTTTACCTGTACTTTCAAACAGTCGTATCTGCAGAAGGAATACATTAAAATGAACTACACATAAAATGTTACAGAAAACCCCAAGTAGTAACTAAACTTTACCCAAGATAACTTTAATAGTTATTTAAAAAAGAAAAACACGTATAAACACCATTTTGAGGTGTGTTATACTGCATATGAATTTCTTTACCGATTGGCATAATTTTTTCCATCTGTTCATGATCTGTAAAATGTAAGAGTATACAATATTTTTCACATTAGTCCTTCCTGGGACTGTTAGGAATTAAGAGTACATTATACATACAGTTGAATTTAATTGGTGCCATGCCAGGGTGCAGTAAAGGGAATGTATTTGTTAGGGCGAATTTCTTCATCATATCAGACACCTTCCTTCTATTAACATATAAAATGAAACCTGTCATCTGAAAACTATGACAGTGTCTCTAGTCTTCTTGACTGTTTAGCATCGCACCACTACTAGCATGCGGGTGCTCATGCCATAGCCTTTGATGTGCACCACTTATCACAGCTCATAACCCGTCACCCTGTCAGAGCGGCCCTGCAGTGACTGTGGCTCTTCGCTTCGGCCTTCTGATTCAACAGGCGTGCACGCCTCTACATTTGTGGAGCAGAGAAACAGATTTCAGTAACTCCATGCAGAATGCATTTATGGTGCATTGGTATGTAAATGAAAACCCCCAAAACAATGCCACATATATTAAAAAGGAAGGAGAAATTGTTTGCTAATTATTTCCTCATTTTATGGTAGGATGGATTGATTGACTAGATTGATAAGAGCAGAGTTGAATTACTCATGTAAATAAATGTTAACTCTTACAGCTCACAGAAAAGTACACTTGGCCAGATCACTTGGCTAATTATTTCAGTAATATTTTTTTTGAACCAGAAAACCCATGCCCATTCAGTCAAGTATCAAAGACAGATATTTAAAGCTTAAAACAAAACAAAACAAAACAGTAATCGTGGTCCCAGTGTTTTCCAGTGGAGATGCTATAAAGAAAGAAAAATCATTTTTCCTGGAAGTTCCTCATGCCACTAATTTGCAGATGTGCTCATCTTTGCACCTGCTACTTTGGAATATAGTTTTCCTAGGAGGTAAGGCAGGGCAAGAGGGCAATCTGCAAAGGTTTGCTGAATGGTCTGAACGATGTTTTTCTGTAGTAGAAGCAATATCCCAGGTTAATCCCATTGGTGTCCCTGACCTAAGAAAATTGTTATCTTTGGTATTGTCATAACTTTCATTGGTTATGATGTTCTGAGGATCTTTTATGATGAATGAAGTAGGAGATACATAAAAGAAATTCCTTTCAATACAAGGTGTTCAAACTGTGATTTCAAAAGACCACAAAGCACACGTTGCAAGATGGCCCGGGTCACCAGGTCGTGCACTTTTATTGAGGTTTGAGGCTAGAACATGAAAGCCTGGTGCTAGCTAGAATAAGGTAAGCCAAATAATCTGAGGCATTTTCAGAGGCTGCTTTATAAGCAAATAAAGGGTCAATAGCTATTTATTCTTGGTGCTCCAATTACTGGTATTGTTTTTTTTTTTTTTTTTTGTCCAAATTAAAATAAACAGTAAATAAGACAACTGAAAATACATCCAGGTTATTCAAATTTTGTTTTGTCATAGTTCTATTTCCTGAAGCAAGAATTAAATTTTATTACTGCTTAACTCATTCATTCATTCAACAAATACCCCATGAGCACTCACTCTGCAGCATTCTCTCCGACATTTATAGACTATTCATGGACTAGGCACTGGACTAAGAATTTAGGTGTATTATCTCATTTACTCCTCACAGCCCTGTTAAGAAGTCTTGTTATTTCCATCTTAAAGATCAGGAAATGAATCACAAAGACGGGAACACCTTCCCAGTATAACTAGATAGTAAGTGGGGAAGTGGATAATACGCTGAGCGCTGGCTCTCGGCCCTGGGTGCACATCAGACCCATTAAATGGGACATGGGGTCGGGCACTGGGCAGTTCTAACTCACTGCAGAACCAGCTGTGCAACTGCGGAGTTTCACGGGGCTTGTGTGGGTCCTGGGATCCGAAGACTCACGGGGCTCAGAGGCCAGCTGAGTGGGTGGGGGAGTGGCAGGTTTGGGTGGAAATGCGCAACAACCAAGTAAACAGTCACAATGCAATGCCCATCCCCCATCTCTTCCCATTCCTAACTCCTTCATCCCTTTTCAGATCTCAAGTCAAGGACCAACCACCCTATCATTTATTACTGCTGTTGGAAATGTTATTTGTTTGTTTGTTTGTTTGCTATTTTCTGGCCCACCTCCCCCACGAGAAAGACAGCTGCTATTCACTGCTGTATGCCCAGCACCTAGCATGTGCCTGATACAGAGACTGCTCTTAAAAATAGTTGAGTCCTGGCCGGTTTGCTCAGTGGTTAGAGCATCGGCCTGTGGACCAGAGAGTCCCGGGTTTGGTTCCTGCTAAGGGCACGTACCTCGGGTTGCAGTTTGTCCCCGGCCCCAGTTGAGGTCGTGTGGGTGGCGACCACTCTATGTGTCTCTCTCACATTGATGTTTCTTTCTCTCTCTCTTCTTCCCTCTCTCCCTCCTGCTCTATCTGAGGATACATGTAAGGGTGTCCTTGGGTGAGGATACAAAGAAAAGATTAGTTGAGAAAATATATATATATTAGTTGAACACACCAGTGACTTTAACGTGTTTAGGTCAGTTATAGAGACGTGCCAAGGGGCCCCTCGCTCTTCAGGGGATGAGAGATATCATGGGAGGCTCTGGAAGAGCTAGCAGGTGCTGAGGGATGAGTGAGGTTCTCCAGATAACCACAGGAGCGAGGGCAAGTGCGCAGTGCTCAGGGAGAGCATGTGTCAGGGTAGAGAGATGTGTCAGGGTAGAGAGATGTGGAAGAACAGGGAGCGGCAGGTCCTTCTGTGCCTGAAATGTTTACTCCTGATGAGTAGCACTGGAGCAGGCACAGAGATACAAAGGGTGGGAAAAATAAGGAGAGTCCTTGATGTCCTGTTTATATTCTAACAGAGGAAACAAATGAGCACAAAGAGTATATAATTCTAAATTGCAGCAAGCGCTCTGAAGGCAATGGACAGATTACTGTAAGAATGACATTTAGATGGGGGGGGATACTGAGGAAAGTGTTTCTGATGAAGTTATTTTTAATCCCTTCAACAGCCCTGCAAAAATAAAAAACAAAAACAAATCAAAAACCATTTAAAGGTAAAAAACAAAACTGAGGTTAAATACCTCACCAAGGCTCCATCCCTAACAAGTGGCAGAGCCAGGGTGCAAACTGAGACATTTTGTTTCGTTCCAAAGCCAATGCTCATTGCACCGCAGCAGCAGCACCAGGGCGGGGGAGGAGGCCACGTGTGTTCAGGGTGCCTTTCGCTTTACCACAATCCTGCAGTGAAACATTATAGCTTATCAACAGCCAAGTATTTACCCTGTGACTATAAGATTCCAATAGAATCTTTAAGTTCTAAAATACATACTGAGTAATTTACCTCTCTGTGACTATGTCCTATCTTTGGATGTTTTATCATTGTTGTTCACGAGCTAGATGTCAAACATGTCATGTGCTTTCAAATTCATTTGTAGCTCCACAAGGTCGTAAATGTCTGACCTCAGGATAACATTTAACATCTGAGTCTCAGCTTCCTCACCTGGACAACAGGGATGTTGATTCCACGTCCTGCCTATTTCATAGTGTAGGTTCCAATGTGATAATACATGTAAGGGACTTTGTACTACCTTAATGTTATGATTTATATGATATCTCCCCAAAGCATTCTACAGTAGTGCAGTTGATTTAAAATGAAAAGACTGGAATGGGTTTTGAAAAGTTAAAAGCTGTGGGCAATGGAGCGCATTCTATAAGGACTTAGTCATTATGTCACTGCTACAGTTCTTGACCGGCCCCCTCTCCACCGGTGTGCACGGAACCTGCCACCCGCCCCTGGGATGACATAGCTGTTCACGTATGTGTGATTACGACCTTCAGTAGGGGCTGTCGATACATCACAATGATATTCATTGAGCCTTAGAAAAGGATAAAGTATGTGAGACTAATTCCTAATCCCCATGCAATTTTAATATACTTTTTTTATGTGCTAAGTGCAACTAATAAAGTTAAATTTTAAAAAGTTACAGAAATTAAAAGCTGTAATGCAGTAATTTATATGATGATCAAGGAAGGATATAGATTAACCCATTAAAGGCATTTCCATAGGCATACAGAGTGACTGAAAAACACAGGCACATATGTACTTAATTATGACAAGAAATTCCATTTCTAGGAATCCACCCTGAAAATACACTTCTAATTACACAAAATTACATATATACAAGTTTGTTCATGGGACAAACTTGTATATTGTATTTGCAGAATAATGGAAACAGCCTTAATGCCTAAACATAGGCGGGTGGTTCAATAAATATGCTGGAAAAAGCCTCACAACTGTCCAGCTGAAAAAAGAGGGAAAAGGCTGGGGGTAGATCACTGGGAATTTCCAAATCCATGAGGAAAGAGAAGTGCAAAGGAGCTTCTGTGGTGTGCTACCACCCCACCATGCAAAAAGGAATTTTAAAAAATCTGCTCATTTGTGAAAAAGAAATATGGGAACGATAAACCAGAAAACATAGAGGCTATTTAACTATAGGGGTTAGTGGGGAAAGAGAGGAAAGAAGGGGGCGCAACACGCGGGGTGGGGGTGAGGAGGGGC